TGAACAACAGGGCTTGTTGGCTTAGCTACTTTTGCAAATCCCGCTGTCTCCGTGGGCGGCAGGATTCGTCGCGTTTCCTGCTCGACCTACGCAGGGCTGACCGTGTATTTCAGGGCTGCAAATCTGGGTGAAGCTACCTGGCATGCTCAAACCCTCAGGGAATTTCGGTGTCCTAAGGAGAGGAGGAGGAGGAGGAGGAGGAGGAGGAGGAGGAGGAAGAGGAGGAAGTGGCGTGCGTTCACCCGCCTGGCGCTCACGCCGCAGTACGTGCCTGGGACTGGGCGGCGCTTTTGGGGGCGGGCCCCCCTTCCCCCCGCCAGCCCCCCCCCTCCTGCACCAAGTCAAGCCTTTTTTTTTTTTTGCAGTAACTTCTGCTCTGACCTGCTTTGCAGTTACCCTGCAAGTAATTTAGGAGCTAATGGGGCCATCTGGGTAAGATCATATCCATAAGGTTTAGTATTCTGCAGGCCCTGTTACGGAAGGGCAGACAGCCTGCCTAGCAGCAGTCTCGTACGAAAAACCAAATCTTCCCTGAATTACTTTCTAACGTCAGTAACAATTAACTGTTAATACTAATTAACAATTAACTTTAAACGTTTTTGCCTGCCAGTTTGCCTTCCTACTCTCTGAGATGTGCTGCCAGTCTCTAGCTGGGCCGGAGTTTGGGAGAATATTAGTCTGACAGGGTTTTCTGAGTATTGTCTGCTTCCAGGAAATTGTGCAAATCTGCCAGGTTGCTTTCAAAAAGAAGCGTTCGGGTGGCTTCAGAGGTTCTGGGGTTTTTGTTGCTAATGATTTAATTTTTCTGCTCCCACACAATAGAAGTGTGACATACAGAAACAACGTTAAAAACTTATCTCTATGCCATTGGCTTGGAGAAGGTTCATCAAAACATTTTCTGTTGCTTGTTGGGGGAGGCGTGCGTTGCCTCCAGCCAGGGTGACTATTGCCGCGCTGTTCCTGCGAGCTGCTTCCGCAGCAGACAGCGTCTCTGCAGCGTGGTCCCTGTTTGGGGGGGCGGGGGGGTCACTGCAGCTTCGTATGCCAACATTCACCCTGTTTCCTGAGACGTGTTCAGGGAACTGGGACAGGGGACACGCGTCCTTGGAAGGGCAGCAATCGAGAGCGCTGAGCGTGGCCGCAAACTCTCTGGGCCCCTTTGGACGCTCCATGAGGCAGGGACCTCTTTGTACCGCACTTACGAGACAGGCATGAGAAGGAAGTTGGGGGAGTCTCTGAAACAGAAGAGGAAGAGAAGGTGGCGTGGAAATCGCTTGGAGACTCTGCCAGGAGCCCAGGACGGTGTAACGGCTCTGGCTTACTTACGCTACAAAGCATCCCACTGAAAAGGAAACTCTGATACTGTCCCATTGCAGGAGGTAACTGCGCCGTGGCAAGTAGCACCCAGGCGAGCTCCAAGCCCAGTCCCTGTGCATGCGCCATCCTACACAAAAGGCTCAAGTTTCCAGGGTCCCTTGGCCTGCTCCACAGCCAAGGAGCTATGCACAAAACAGGCACGGCCGCCATCGCCTCTGTAAAGAAACCGGCACGTGAAGGGGCTCCAGTCTCTTTCCGCGTGTTCAAGCTGCAGCAGCCGTTATCTTATTAACGCAATGTTAATTTCTGAAAAGTAAGTATTGGTGTCTGCTTCATCCCCAGGCCTCCTGGCCCCTCCTCTGGATGAGCCGAGGCTACTGCTCACTGGCTCTGGCTGGCAATGCAAGCAGTTGGGATGGCAACAAAGAGGCTTCTCTGCTTCAAATGTAGCATCAGGTGGTCTTGGATAGGAACTACAAGTTGTATTGGCCCTGGCATTGACGTTTCTGCAGAATCACTGTCTCTGGGGCCCTCTGGTTCACAGCCTGGTTATGCTCTCCTGCATCTGGAAAGCTGGCCTCTGTTCTTGGATGCACTGAATGCTTCCTCTGGGCCCAGCTGCTTCATGTGCCATTTAGTGCTGAATTTCTAATTCAGTTTAAGATTATGCTCTATTACAGGGCTCGCCTATGTGTGATTACTCCCTGATTAGCCAAAGTTTGAAGATTTACTCCAGAATACGAATACTTCAAGGTGTGTCTATCATGGCCTGCTGAAAATGAATTCAGGCTTCAGTACCAGAAACCAACCTGCCGCTCTTCCATGTATCGGCGCTGTGTCTTGATCCCCAGGGCTCTCAAAAGACAAAGTCCCGGAGTCAGATATGCAGTGAACTCCTGGAGGATTCAGAAATACAGCCACTCCTTTTTTGTAAGCTGCAGTATGTGGTACGTCGATGAGACTTCTCACATCTGGCTGGAAGAGGTGTGGTGCTAGTAAAGCCTGCCAGCGCACTCCTGTTACAGCCCTGGCGTTGTAGCAGCACTTTGGTTCCCGCCATAGCCCAAGCTGCCTGACCATCCGTTCTTCTGGCTGCTTCTATATGCAGCTTTCTTGTCCAGGAGAGGCACTCTGGCCTGTTGCATCAACATTACTAATTGATATCCCAAAAATTGTGCTCAGCCTTGCAGTTATTATTGGGTCAACCTTCTTCCTACTTAGACTCCTACACATCAGGAGACTTTGCAGTCTCCTGCTGTCAAATGCATGTTTTCAAAAAAAAAAAAAAACAACAAAAAAAAGTCTCCCAATTCTGTGTGCAACCCTAGCCTCCTCGTGCTTAGAGAAGGGAGACTTTGGAGTCTCCTTCTGAAAAATGCATTTTTTAAAAAAAAAAAAAAAACAACAAAAAAAAGTCTCCCAATTCTGTGTGCAACCCTAGCCTCCTCGTGCTTAGAGAAGCTGAGCACTCATCCTTTCCCACACAGAGCTCCACTTGCTCTCCTTGCTTTCAGGAGGAAATGCCATGTCACTGATCTCTGGTATTTCCAACCCGGTTAGAAACCTGGCCTGCTGCTGCCGGCTTTGTCTCAGCATCTCACCCTTCTGACACCTGTCTGCAAATCATGTGCCCCTTCCTTGAGACCGTGTTATAAAAATAGGAATCTGGTTCCAAACAGTTCTAGAGCAAATGAAGGGAATACGGCTTGGCAGATGTGGAGGCTAGAATTAGAACAAAATATATTGCTGTGTGTATGCATTTTATGCCCCTATTCCAGTACAGCATGAGGAACAGAGCAGCAGGCCTACCACCATATCTAATTTTGGGTTATAATAAAGAGCACACAGTCTCCAAGGGGATCTTTGTGCTAGTCTTTCCTCGGCATCTGAGGCCAACAAGGGGGTCTATTGTGAAGGACATACTTATGGGCATCTTTCCCCTTAGGCACCAAATTGAAAATCAACTCTTTCCACATGGGTGATGAAACAGCCTTTGGAAAGGAACATCTGTAGGATCTATTCCCCACCCACTATCAATCAGTCCAGCTGCAGAGCAGAAGCAGCACTACCAGGGCAGAGGTCCATCCCGGTGAGAAATTAACACCAGTGCCACCTCGTGGCACTTCGCTGAAGTATGAAGTCCACTGAAATATGGATCAGCTTTTGCATTTTTGTACTCCTATATATAGTGCATCAAATTTACATCATCAGAAGAGCTTTCCAAGATTTGAATTATCTGCTATGCTTTCTCCAGCTTATTTCTGTCACATGGCTTTAGAAACTCTTTTCTAGTCTACAGAGAGCCAAAACATCTCTCTAAGCACCCGTAATGCCATTTGATATGAGCAGGTGAGGACTAGTGCCAGCGTGGTTTTCTCAAAAGTATGAGTCTGCCTTTTGCTTAAGTGTATGGCTGTGTACAACTGTGCTTATTCTTTAATAAATCCTCTGGGTTAGCTCTGCGGACAGAGCCACCATGGCTTAGTTATTTAACACTTCATAGACACATTTAAAGCACCCTTGCAGATCCCTTAATACATTCCCTTGATTGCTCCTTGGATACACAGCAGCAATGGCAAATACTTTGTTCCGAGTTTAGAAGGTAAGCATCCAAGCGCTGACTTCTGTCTAGGGCTGCTAGTATGGTCAACATTTTCCTTCTGTACACTTTCCTAGATATTTTACATGGGGCTAATACTGGTACTAATACTAGTAGATCAGCATCACATCTGAATAGTACAGCCCAAAATAACTGCAATCATGCACCTTTTGTTAGAAGCCCTCTTCTAGTACAACACTGATACAGATCATTGCACAAATAGGGAGCTGCGTGGTTTATCAATTGGATGTCCTCAGTAAGTGTTCAAAAGGCTGAACCAAGCAAAAATTATTTTTTCCCCAGAGCCAGGCATCCTCCTTTCTTCAATATCCTACCACTGAAGGCATGATGGGAGATGCTAAGTAGTCCATGCCAACATTGCCTCTGCAGCTACAGACAAACACCAAGCATGAAGGCTACTTAAAGTGCCCTCCCCCCCCAAGTAATAGCATTGAGACAATCAGGATAAAAGTTAGAGCCTTTTGTTGTTTACTCTGCTGGGCCTCTTCTTCAAGAGCAGATATTAGATGTTTCATTCTTGCTCATCCAGATGAGCAACGACTGTTCAAATATTGGTCTTGATAACACACCTTGTTGTTTACAAAAATACATTTTCCCCCAAGCTTAAGTAGGAGTATCGACTATGACCAGCTCTAGCAAAGGGCAGTAACTAGTGCTACTTCCAATAGCAGTACATGGCACAAATTGCTAGGATAGCTGCAGTTTCCAGCTGGCAACAGAGTGAAGTGGAAGACTTCCAGTCAGCTGCCTTTGCTGGGCAGCTGTGCAGACACACACATACAAACAGGAAAAGCTGCTGTATTTCTGTTTATTGTAATAGAAAAAAAACCAGAAAAAAACCAAAACATCACTTTCTGCCTAAAGACGTTATTAACGTTTTAAAAACGGCATGGGGGAACCCCAACAACACAAGACAGAAGGGTAAGTTGGGGCAAACGGGTTCTGTTCTCTTTCAGGAGTTCAGCTTCCCTGCCCCTTTGTCAACCAACTGGCTGAAGTTCTTCACCTATATATACACACTTACATACATTTCTCATTCTAGCTTATATTCCTATAAATAAGTATGGCTGGGTGGAATGTTGGGTGCACAGTTCTGCAATTTACACATAACCCTCTTTGGAGAAAACGGGTTTCTAAAAGGCCTAGAGAGTACAGGGATCTCACTATTCAGTAAGTTCAAGCAAACAGGATTCCCTCCTAGAGGTCTTTCACCACAGAACACAGAGAAGGTCCAGAACCAAGGAGGTCCTTTACAAGCTCCTTTCAGAGCTCCATTGCTATTGCAAACAGAATATGGCTGAGTGAAATTTTACCTGGTGATATTCAAATAGCAGCATTACCTCTGCAAAGGGGCTACTCAGGAGGGGAAAAGGCAGACTGCAAAATGCATAGGGTGAACTTTTTCCTTTTCTTTCCTCCCTCTTGTCAGGATGTAACAGGTCCTGAACTAGGCATCCAAGCAGAACCCAGGCTCAGGACCACTAAGGGGTGGACACACGGGACACATCCACACCACGCAATGGAGTGTGGGGCAGAGACTGTGGTGCCAGAGCTTCCTCTGAATGGGAAGCAGAACAACCGTATCAGTGCAGTACTGTGCCTGAAGTGAGTAGCTTACTGAAAGACAAGCAACCACAGCTGTGCTGCTTTTGGGTGCTAAACTAGCATATCCATGTTAGGCTGCACCCTATCACATTGGGTATACCTGTTCAGCTGAGGAAGCTCCAAGATCTTTAATGCTACTGCATTTTGTGGTACAGTCACATCTGTCTTAAGATGAGAGACTAGTTACTCTTTACACAACAGGTATGGGAAAAGACTGGCGAGGATATATAGAGAGAACAGCAACATTAAGCTATGGCTTGGTGGAAAGCAAACAGTTACCGATCCCTCCTCCAAAAGCACCAAAAGGCGTTCATAAATATTTTATTATAGAGTGTTTTTTTCCTGTTTGTTTTTGGTTTTTTTTTTTTGAAATGCATTTAGTGGGGAAAAGAGGAGAACGATTGAGAGCTTTTGTATAAACCAGGATCCGTACTAACTGTTACAGTTGTCTCAGAGTCCAACACATCAAATGAAATACTTAAGGAAAAGTTGATGGCACAAGCCGAGAATGACAGAAGGAGAAAAACATTCTGGGCTGCAAAGACCACTGCTGTGCACTGAGAGCAGGTACACACACAACTGCAGAATGCACTGATAGTACCTTATTTTCACATATGTAGTGACTCCACAAGGTGCAGGGCAAAAGACTATATGATGCAGCTTGAATAAACTGTAGTTTTCCTCTGTTCCATCCCCACAAAAATATGAACCATTACAGACCTCACTGAATAACAGCAGGAGAAAGTTACTAACGTATTATTTTGGGAAAAAGAGCCCATCAGAGAAAAGACATCTACTTTAGGTATGCCGGAGGTTTCCAGTGCAGGAAGTTTAAGATGCAGGACTGAAGTTGCTGCAGTTCTTTTCACAACAAAGCACTGGACACAGGGCTATACACTTGCATAGATGCTTTATCAGCAGCATCCAGGATGCACAATCCCCCTTTCTGGGGAATCAGCAGCACTTTCAGGTTTGGGGAAAGTTCCAGTTGTCCGATGACTCTTTCTTGTGTGCCTTCCTAAATGTAATTGCTACAGAGTTGTCCAGGAAAAGTGTGTACATATGCATGAAAAGACGTGAATGTGCCTGTTCTTTCCATTCCTTAATCTTTTCCCACTGCAAATAATAGTGAAACTATAAGAACCTTAAATCAGATGATGCAGCATTGACGCAATCTAGTGTCAATCTGAGGATAAAACTGCTTCTGTATGAATCTTGATAAATGTGATTTTTCCACAGAAAAGCTTAATTTTAGTCTTGCGCATTTTCTTTAAATTTGGGGAGACCTATTCCCTATTTCTCCTATGCTTAATCACAGTTCTCTCTGTGACATACTTGACTGCTTTGGAAAGGACAGTGACATCTGAGAAAGTTGGAACTCCCACTGTGGCTGCAACTGGATACTGAAGGCAGAATTGGCCTACCCTGTATTACTATATAGCTGCAGTGCTGTTCCTGCCTTACTATATTGCCACTCTGGCATAGTGAGCAAAACCAGCTCTTGTGTGAAGGTAGATAGTTAACAAGGTTCTGCACGTTTGCTAGTAAGCTTGCTTGAGAGTGAGGAAACATTTCACTGCATTTTGCTCTCACTTGAAACGTGCTTCCTCCACTTCTGCTCACGCGATCCTGTTCTTTCAGCTAGTTCTCATAATTCTTGCCTCCTCATGGATCTAGCATGAGGAGGCTCTTGGTAATTCTCAGATGCAGCCTCCCTCCCGCACACACTTAAACCCATTGAAAGTTGCAATTTTGAGAGTGACACTTAGTTCAACCAGGCCATCTTTCCCACATAGCTCTGCCATTTCAAATATTCTAATCAGATGAGTTCAGCTTTTCCCCTGAGCAAATAACACAATGTCAATGAAATACACAGAAGGCTAACCCTGGGAGACCTTCACTTTCTAGGCTACAAACACTTTCTTTGTCGTTCTGCTACAGACATCAGCAAATACCCCCATAATATAGGCAGTGACAACAGAAAGAGATGTGAGCCTGGCAAGGGATGGCTAGAACATCCCTTTATTTACCCCAAATTGTATAATGGGCCCTTGAGTGTTCATGGAATGAACCCCCACTTTATTGGCATGGGAGTTATTTCAAAAGTGACAGCCTACTCAGGCAAGACAGCCTTTATAAGTTAGTATAATACTATTAGAAATTATGGCAATCTTTTTGGTAGCATTTTCTTACATGCACCCTGATAAATCCTCTCCCTAGGAAATTTGAAAACTTATCTTGTCATTTCCATAGAGTTAATTCTGATGGGAAATTATAAAATAGAAATCTGGTATTTCATGATTAAAAAGGAAGAGGCCTGGTGAGGCTGGGCACACCGGGTCACTCCTGTTAGCTCTGTCCGTTATGTCTGCTGAAGGTATTTCCACCAGGTGGCTGGATCTGGATGGAGTCCAGGAGGGGCCTTAAAGCTTGTCCAAAAGGTCTGAGAAAGCAAAGAAATATAAACATCTCAAATAGTTCCCTGATGAACATTTTTCCCCGCTTACTACTGAAATGCACTCACTTCCTAGAGTAGAATCAAATCAGCTTTGTAGAGGCAAATTTGAAGAACAAAATTTCACTACAAATTAGAGCAAACTAATTTAACTTGTAAAAAAACAATTTACTGTTCAGTAACTAAGAATCTTAAACATGGTTTCATATAAGCTAGTTTGGAGCCCTAACACGTCTGCACTGCTAACGCAGTAATACTGTGTCTGAAACCAGCTTTTGGTAACCCAGTCTACTTAAGCGCGTGAACAAAATCCCAGTCATGCAATTGAAGTTCTTCATTAAGTACTGCATCAATATTAATGACTGCTAGGAGAACGGCCACTAGCCCCTTACTGGTTCAGTACTTGAGGAGTAATTTCCGCAGCAATCTGTGGCACCTGGTTTGTCTTGCAATAAGACTCATTCAGTTACAGATTTAATCTGACTTTGAGAGATTCGAGGAGACAACAGACCAGGGTAGAAGACATATCTCCCAAATAACGTGGTATACCACTGTTATGAGAAATAAGACCTAAATTATGGAGCTTAAATCATCCCACTGGGTTCCTCCCTCACTCAGAGCGCACATAAAGAAATTCTGAGCTGACCTACCTGACAGGAAACAAACTCTTCATTTCCCGTCTTCCACACCCTCTTTTCCTGCCCAGTCCTAGCCTAAAAACTGCAGTGTTAATTTTAAAATTAGATCTTGCCTGCCTCTTCACAAGGACAAAAGACAATGCAATTACGGTGCCTGGAGTAAGAGAAGTGATTCTTGAGAAGTACTAGTTTCCTAAGAGAGCAAATTTGCACCATTTTCTGAAATTTTCTATACTGTTATGATGTCTCTTACATGACCAGAAAAAAAAAACTAGTTTAAATTAATTCAAAAGACAGAAGAACAACCTTCTTCCATCTTCTGAGCAATTCCAGTGTCAGTTAGCACCTGTGGTACGGAGTGTTGTAAGTGTTAGAAGTAAAGCAAATAGCATCCTCTCCCTCATCTCATGAAGCAGAATAGAAAACCAGCAGAAACTAACACTACTGCATCAGTGAAATGTTTAAGTTGTAGCATGAAGCAACATACTACAGAGAGAAGTGGAACTCATACTCACGTGGCAAGCACTTCAGCTGGAAGATCAGTGATGTAGGAAGGGATCTTTCTTCCTGTCAGGAACTGTGCCACTTCATTACTGAAGGTGTTGCAGTTATGCTCAAAGAGGTTATAAGACTCTCCTCTGTGCCACAGGAAAGGAATTGGAACACGAAAAGACAGATTCAGCGATAAATCTAACAAGCAGAGAAACTCAGACCACTAATGCAAAACATCTCCTTACATTAGCACTTTTCATCCCAAAGGTCTCTAAGGCAAATAGGCAAAATACCGGAGTCAGTTCACCTTCAAATTCAATTGAATCAGGGTGGAAAATGACATCACTCTGCATCACTGACACCATACAATGGGTAAGTGAGGTCAGGTTTCGAAGGGTAAGTGAGGTCAGGTTTCTTCAATTAAGACCACAGAAGGAGTAAGGAGAAATCACAGGAATTATTGACAGTGAAATTTAGCCAAAACACTAAATGTTACAGTTTCCCATTCTTGTGAAAAGCATACTAGACTCTAACAGCCAAGACCCTGATTTTACTCATCTGAAAGTTGGCAGCTCTCCTACAATGTTTTGCCTCTGACTCAGACGGTAAAGCACTATTTACTGAAATGTTTCATATACTGCCTTCATTTTCCCTAGTGATCCTCTCAAAGAGATATCAGGCATTATCCCATTTCGCAAAAAGCATGCGGTGTGAAAGGCTTCCTGGCAAAACGCTTTCCCAGCATAGCTAAGGGCTAGCACATCAGAAGGTTGCCTAGCTGGTAGCCCATTGTGTACCAGCACATCAGTTCCCGCCTCAGATTTAGAGGGTACCAAGTAATATATTAGGCAAACAAAGCTTTGCGAATAGGGTTGGTCTCTGAATACCTTCCTCCCTTCTGCACCTCTGCCCCTAGACGCTTTTCTTGGTGCACAGATTTTACAATAAAAACTGCTACTAACCGGAACATAGATTCTCCCAGCGAGGAAAGATATTCCAGGAAAATTTCCTCTGTGACTTCAGTGTTCCCCAGGTCAACAACTGAGTCTGGGGGGCCAAGCAGTGTCCCCCCCTGCAAGAATTAACAGCCAAAAGAAAATGTTAAATGGACAGAATAAGTTCTTTTGAAGGACTCCATGGAATAGAGCTATCATGGTTTGTCCATGCACAAAAGGAGGATCTTCTGCTATGCTTGTCAAATGAAGAGCCCTACTGGCCTCCCTCATTCTGCACTCGGAGAATGAGAGGTAACATGCAACTTACGCTTCAGCTTGTACGCTTGGTTCTTTAAGCTGAAAGCTCTAAGCTATGGCAAAACTCCATTTTAGAAGAGCAGCCCATCAGTTTTGCCTAAGAAGAGAAAGGTTTGCCAAAGTATTACGGATTTTTTATTTTTAAAAGGATGCCTTGAGTCACCAAGTCTGCAGGCAAAAATTGTCCATACAGAATTAGACAAGATGTCATTCAGGCAACGCAGCTGCCAACAGTGTCTCTCTACCCAGGATACCATCAGCTGAAGCAACCCCCAACCTCCATTCAGTGGGGCTTAAATCCATTGTCCATATTCCCTTTTCCTCAGATGCCCATGGCCACCATAGCAAGCAGCCTCAGCTGGCTGAATTCAGAAGCCTCACCACTTGCTGCTTTTCTAAAGGACAGTGACAACATTCTGATCAGTTAACCCTATCACAAAATTTTTGTAATTAGAAAAATAAGTTTAACTTACAGGTGCACAGCTGGAGATTCCCCCACTGCCATAGAAGAACTCATCCTTATGGACTATAATGGAGGTGTGCCTGCCACAGAGGACAGAAAGTAGGTGAAACAAAGGAAATATTTAGTCTAGCATGTAAGTCACCGGTAAATTTACGTGCTCAAGGACATCATGGAAGCGAGTAACTTTGAAAGAAAAGGTCCAGATGTTTCTGTGACTAGGAATAGCATCTGCTGGGACACTAACGGGAACGGAAATGGAAGCAACGATTATCAAGCCTCATGTAACACTGCAGATGGTTGAGAGAAAAGAAGCTTAGCTAGGTGCCCAAGCATGAAGGAACATGGCAAGAAAAGGACTCCCACTCCAGCATGAGATCCCTAGCAGCCTCTTTCAGCTAAAGAGACAAGGATGTAGTCACAGAGATAGTGCTAGCCCTGTTACTATGTTGACAGAGGGAATATGTGTCTGACTGATAGATACGGACTCGGAAGAGGTTGGACAGTCCCTGGAGATGGCTGATGGGAGACGGATGGACAATTTTTTGTTTTGTTTGTTTTACTCTAGATGCGAATTATAGCAAACTGAGGAATGTTTTGCAACTGAATGTAGTCATCGCTCCTAAGTACCATGTGGCCCAATTCTGTAATACCCTTCCCTCCCACCTCCTCTTGGATTGTCATGTTTAGTCATGCCTGCAATTAGAAGACAAAGTGTTTGGGACGAGGACAGCATCCTACCCTTGAAAAAGGGAACAAGAGCACTGAAATGCAACAACCATTAGCAACACTGTTTTCATGGGGCCCACAGAGCTCCGATTTTAACAGGCACCTGACTGTACGTCATCTTACTGTCAATCTGGATTCAGGAACAGAAAGTACCTTGGTCTATCTTCAGCACCAGCTTTCTTAAGATTTGAAGCATATATAATCTCATATTGAAAATACTTCCTACGCCACACAGTGTATAGCATACATTATGCAATTTAAATCTAGTCACTTACCAGATGCCATCCAGCTGTTTCCCTGTAAGCAGAGAAAAGAAGAGTTATTAGCAGTGTATTCTCTAGATTTCAGCCTACTTTCTGTCAATCATCAAGGAATCTTGCCCATTATTTCACCATGATAGTAACCTCAGAGATACAACTTTCATCCCAGAGTTGCTTCAAATGAAACAGCACGTCTGTCTTTCAAGTAAACTACTCTGCCCACACTGCTGCCTTACTTTCCTCCTCCTGCATGCAGAGCTGGCAGTGCCATCCTGCCAATGTTCACCTTCCTTGGGCTGTTATCTACAGATCAAGAGGCAGGGAGAAGTTTTTCTTAATTTAAGAGCGCTCAGTCAGGACCAGAAGAGCAGCCTGTACAATTTTGCACACATTTTATAGTTGCAGGCAGTCAGATAGCTGGCATAGAGTACTCAGTTTTCCTTTTCAATAACTGATGACAAATCAGACTGGGACCATGGATCTGTGGGTGAAAGTCTTTATAATCCATGCCACGGCTTTTCCTCCCCTCTTAAAGATTCAGAGTTTAGGAGAGAAAACAAAACCAAACCAAGTACAGGATTGAAATTTACACAAGCTATAAAACTGAATGAAGAATTTTGTAGAACACAATCAGCAACAAAAATTTGTTTCTGGCACGACTAAAGTGATAATATCATTGTGTCTTAGATTAAAAAAAAAAAAAAATCCCTTCTGAAATGATTTTCCAGGCCCCTGGGTACATCTTTTTCAAGTGGGAAGCCTAAACTTCTCTTTCATGGTGGGATCTCAAGATCAACCCAGTCTTTAAAGGGTCACTAGCTGGTACTGCTCCAGGCTTGATTACTTTATCATAACCTAAGGGTTTGGTCCCTGGAATAGCATCCTTTTGTAAACTTTTAGGCAATGACAGCATGCTATGATACAGATGTGGTATAATTTTGGTTTGCTAAACAAGGAACACAACACTCAGAAAAGTGCATTTAGAACAAAATAACTGTGTATATCCCTATTCGGCATTCCCCTGAACCCCCAGGTAGAGCGAGCGCCCCTCTGCTCTAGCAGACCCTTGATCCTTTTAGTCAGTCTTCATGTGCCAACCCTCTCCCCCAGCAGACTACTACTCACGCCGTTGTCCTTTACAACCAAACAGCACCTTTTTCAGGAAAATTTGTGGTTGAACTTTCAGATGCCAGAATGCCATCTGAATCTGCTAAAGCCAACTGCAGGTTTCTTAGAGCTAACTCAAGAGCACTATAGACAGATAATAAAAAAAAGCCCCAAAACTGAATACAAGAGGCACTGTGCTAGTAAAAATTTGTTCAGAAAGTCCTGATGGGTTAACTTTGGGCCAAAGGCTTTATTCTTGTTTGGACATCAGCTTGCATCAGATTAGCATAAGGCCTCCCAAAGCCAGCCACAGATCTTGTCAGTCAATTTTTGCTTCCTGAATTCTGGGCCATTATGTGTAGATATCATCTTCCTCTTTTAAAGGCAGCCTCAGAGCTCTGAAAAGGCATTTTCTTTGAATGCTTGTGACAATCAGGCTTTCCTTGGCTGTCATAAGGGCCTTTGCCTTGCCTGTTCTCTCTCTTTCTCTCTCCTTACTTGAACCTCTGTTTAAGACTGTGTGAGAGCAAGTTAAGGACAGGCCTCAAGCTAGACCTGCTGCTAGCTTGCACATTACTTCCTTGCACATGCACATTACTTCCCTTGTTCATGCACATGCACATTACTTCCCTTGTTCACCAGGTGTCAAACCAGCCACAGGCGTCGGTACTGGAGGTGATGGATCTGGAGACAGACCCCTGCACAGCAGTCTAACTAATCCCATCTACCATGCTACTGCTTGGCAGATACTTTACACTGTGCACCTCAGGGAACCAAAACACTGCAGGGCCAAGGCTCTGGAAAGGGTTACTAACAGCCAGCTTGGTTCAGTGAGGGTGGCCTGGTCACCACACCCTGAGTAGGAACGGACACGGAGCCGAGTGCAGCAGGGATTCGGCAGCAGAGCAGTCAGACCTCTGCTGCATTTAATGAGTTTGCTGCACTTTCTCTTTCAAGGAGGGAAAATGTAAAGTGTTTAGCCATGCCAGCACTGTAGAAGAGACTGTTAGGATACAAGCAGCCAGAAAGTCTTCAGCTCCTAGCTAAGTACCTCTGAACAAAGGACAGAACAATCTCTTTGCTACACTGCAATACAGCAGGGCAGGAATTCAACGTGCTCTGTCCCTCCTTCCCCACCTGGCTACAATGCTGTGAGGTTTTGGGTGGTTTTTTTTTTTCTTTGACCTAGAGGTAGTTTGTCATTTCTAACTGTCCCCACCTCAGGATTTGGCTGTATTCCCTCTCCATGCTGTCAGCCTTGCTTGTCCCTAGCAACTCTACCACCAGCCATTCTGCTTATATTCCCACAGCTTATGATGCTGAAAGTGCACTGTGACTGCTTTTAACAGGCTGAAACTGATGCGCAGAGTAACAATGAGTCATTCTGCTCATAAAAAACGTTTGCTAAAATAAAGCTCCAGGCACTTCCTAGAACAGCGGGCTTCTCTGCCGAAACGTCATGGATCACTTTCCTCACATTGGTGTCCAACTTCCCCTAAGACACCCGGTGCTGTAGCAGTGATGGGGCACATTATCCCAGTTCCCTTTGGCTTGTGGAAAGAGAGGTTCTGTCACTGCCCCTACTTAGATCAGTGCCACTGCATCTGGGTATAGTCTGGGTGTGCCAGGCAGCAGCATTTCTTTACAAGTCCTTTTTCATAGGTAATAAATAAGAAAAAAGACTTTATCATCATCAGAACAGGATAAAATAGGGGAGCAAAAGATAAGGATGATCCTTAAAGAGCTCTGAGAAAGGGATGCTTGTGCGTCCAAGTAAGGCATGAACAATGATTACAATGATTTTTTTGCTTAAGGCACAGACAGTTATCTGCTTCAGATAAGGGTGGTATAAGAACGCAGGCAGGGAAAAGGCTGTTGTGACAATAGAGACATCAGTCAAAGTGAGCACGCAGAGTTTTAAAGTAGGTGGACTAATCTGTCACTACTGTGGATTGCAGCCAGTGCGTTCACTGTCAACCTGTTACACAGATACGTAGGCACGGAGTAGGATGAAGGCCAGAAGACAGTAGCAGTGATGAAAGAAGCAGAGCAGTATGTTCAACATCTCAAGAGCATTTATGCCTCTTTAACGTGTCCCACCCTGTTGCGCTCTTAGACCCTGTGGCTCTTGTTCCACACCTTCCCCATGAGAGCTCTTCCCCCCAGAGAGCAGCTCCTGATGGGGTACGGCAGTTTGCAAGTGACACTCTGGGCTCACCAGCAACAGTCTGTGTAGGGTATCGTGCACTGTACTAACTTTAGCAGCTAGCCTATAGTTCATGCTCTGCATATCTGCGAGTAAATTACACTTTTTTTCACAATAAATTCCTGTTTTCCACTAGAACCTTGAACTTCATCTTTCAGGGCACAACTAGAACCACATCTACACTTTTGCATGCTAAATGGAAAAAAGAATATCTTAGTGTTTACTTTCACATGTGTGTGCACACACGTTGCCAGCAAACAATGCTGAAAGGCTTTCCATGAAGTTGCCAGTTTCTGCTCCTAAAACTGCAACACCTCCTTGTTGCCTTTTGTTCTTACAAAGATCGTTGTAGCAAAGAAGGCTACTGAGCAACGGGCTGTTCTAGCAGCCCACTACAGCCAGCAAGTCAAATAAGGTGATTCTTCCCTTCTGGTGGCACTTGTGAGCGCCAATTTGGAGTGCTGTCTCCAGTTTTGGGTCCCCCACCCCAGTACAAGAAAGACATTGACATATTAAGCTGGAGTATATGACATATTGAGGAAAGGGTGAGAGAACTGAATTTGTTCAGTCTTAAGAGAATGCCAAGAGATCTTCTTGCTGTCTACAGCTACTAATTGGCATAGAGAAGAGGGAGCATCACCCTGTTTAGAGGTGCACAGTGGAAGGCAACAGACAAGCTGGAACATGGGAAGTTCCCAACTCAATAAAAGAAAAAACAAATTTCTTTCAAAGAAAGAAAGCCCTGTGAGGGTGGTCAAGCCCTGGGACAGAAAGAATGTGCAATTTCCATCCTTGGAGATATTCAGAACTCAACCGGACAAGGCCCTGAGGAACCTGCTCTAACTGGATCTTCCTTGAGCAGGAGATTGGTCTAGAGACCTCCAGAGGTTCCCTCCCTCCAATGCAAATCTCTGACTGCATGAAACAAAAAAAAAAACAAACAGAATTCAGGAAAGGAACTTTGCGTTAGATTGCAGTCTGACCTTGGAAGGCTCCTCTCTGGCTGCTACACACCAAACCCATACTCAACATCAGGCAGCAGCTGCCAGGGCAATAGGTCATTTTGTGCCAAGTACCGGTTTGGGGATATTAACGGAGCTGCTGAGCCACTATTTCTGCTTAGCTTCCGAACGACATCACCAGGCTGGCACTGTGGAAAACACCTGCCAGATCAGCAGCACTGATGACAGTAAGGCATCCATGGTAGCTCTCCAGCCTGTTGCAGACAGAATAAAATCCTTTCCTGCCAGTGATGGGCTGTGCTCAACGAGACGCGCTGCTCATAAATGCTGTGCAAGCCCCCCCAGTGCTAACACATTTGGGAACTCTCAAGCCTAAGAAACCTGGCACTACTAGCCACACTAGCCTCTTGAACACCACCCATCTTCCTCCTGAAGTTTTGCCTCCACTGGTGATCCTCCTACGTGACTCTATTTATGCTTCTCCCAAACCCAGACATTGCGCAGAACAGGTGACAGCTCACCCTAGGCACGACCGTTGCCACTGCTGAGCAGGTCAAGCAAAGCAATCAGGACAGCCTGCACTAATGAGTTATGTCTTACCTGCTGCTGGATATTGTCCATGATATTAAAAACACATTGCTCACCACCTCTGAAGGCTCAATACACAGATGAAACCAGCTTTAACAGATGACCAAGCAGGGATCTGCACTGCTCTCCTTCCACAGCCAGAAGCAAAGCTACCACATTGCTGTAGCAATCCACAAGTTGCGTCCAGGCCCAGTAG